GGAGCGCGGGCCCCCGCTTGCCCGCTCTCCTCGTCCCCGTCCCCCCCCCTCCCCCATGCCCGCTCGCCCCTCGGCGCGGGCGAGACGTTAACGGCGCCGGGTGTGGGCGCGACTGCCCAGGGTGGTTGTTGCCGGTTCCCCTCATGCCCCTACCGGTGGTTTCTGCCCGCAGGAACATCCCGAAGCGGTAAAGATGGTGAAAGTCGGAGTCAATGGGTGAGTGCCGCGGCCGACGGGACCAGCAGGGATTTGGGGAGGGGTTGGGGGGGGGCCGGCAAGGTCGCCTGAAGGGCGCGGGGAGAAGATTTGGGGGGAGGGAGAGGTTGAATCCCGCCGGTCCCGCTCCGCCGGCGCCCCCCGGGGCAGAGAGCGGTGCTGCTGACTCATTTCTCCTCGGATTCGGGGTGACTCACTCCGGAAGGGGTTGCCGTTGCTCGGCTGCCCCAGTTTCCCTCTCCATTCCCGGGGATCCCTGTAGCCCCCCACCAAAAGGTCTCTCGGTGGATCGTGTGTCGATGGCGGCCCCGGGGATGTGACCTTCTCGTGCCGGGCCGAGGAGTAACCGGATCCCCGGGGCTCTCAGTAAATTTAGCGATTGACCTTTCTGGGGCGGGGGTCGCTCTTAATCTTTAACCGGGGTGCCTTGGCCTTTGGACGAGCTGCAGGGCTCCCTCCCGCCCTACTGGGCAGGGAGCAGCGGATGATCCCGAGGGAACGCTGCCAAGGACTGCCTCCCATGCCCAGCTGGGCTGGTTCTCTGTTGCACCTCCTCACCCATGTCTTTTTCTCTCCAGATTTGGCCGTATCGGCCGCCTGGTTACCCGGGCTGCCGTCCTCTCTGGCAAAGTCCAAGTGGTGGCCATCAACGATCCCTTCATTGATCTGAACTACATGGTGAGTTGCTTTGCAGTGCCCCCTCTGGGCCTTTCTGAGTAGGGCTCCTCTGGATCTGTTCTGGTAACTTCCCAGGGTTTTGGAGGATGATGGCAGCCTGGGTGCCTGACCTTCCACTCCCCCTCTCTTTATTAGGTTTACATGTTCAAATATGACTCTACTCATGGCCACTTCCGGGGCACTGTCAAGGCTGAGAATGGGAAACTTGTCATCAATGGGAATGCTATCACCATCTTCCAGGAGTAAGTATCTCTTTCCCAATTGCCCCTGTGGAGGTTGAAAGCAGGTGTCTCATGGAGCAGCTTGTAAAATTTCATCCCTCCTTAGGCGTGACCCCAGCAACATCAAGTGGGCAGATGCTGGTGCTGAATATGTTGTGGAGTCTACTGGTGTCTTCACCACCATGGAGAAGGCTGGGGTGAGTATGCCACAGAGGCACAGGAGAGAAGGGATTGTGCTGCTTCCTGCCTGTGGGGCATGCCACCATGTACAGAGCTGCTCAGGATGGGGCTGTGAAGCAGAAGAGATCTGAAGAAGCAAGCTTGGAAGGATCCTGAGTTATGTAATCTCTTATCTCTCTCTCTCCAGGCTCACCTGAAGGGTGGTGCCAAGCGTGTGATCATCTCTGCCCCCTCTGCTGATGCTCCCATGTTCGTGATGGGCGTCAACCATGAGAAGTATGACAACTCTCTGAAAATTGTCAGGTAAGGAGAGAGGAGCTTGCTTTCTGGCCTGGAGCTCTCACCAGCTGCCAGGGGTCTCACTTCACCTCAGTGGAAGTGTTGCCTCTGGCTGATGTGCCTTTATCTCTCTACCCCAGCAATGCTTCCTGCACTACTAACTGCCTGGCGCCCTTGGCCAAGGTCATCCATGACAACTTCGGCATTGTGGAGGGTCTCATGGTAGGTCTGCAGCTTGGTGCTGAGGAGGGTGACCTACCACAGATCCCCTCGTGTGAGAGGGAAAGCATCTGTACTCCCTGTGTCACCTGGGATGCTCTTTCTGGAGAGTATTGGCTGTGTTCTTACTGCTGTGCTCTTTCTTCAGACCACTGTCCATGCCATCACAGCCACACAGAAGACAGTGGATGGGCCCTCTGGAAAGCTCTGGAGGGATGGCAGAGGTGCTGCTCAGAACATTATCCCAGCATCTACTGGAGCTGCTAAGGCTGTGGGAAAAGTCATTCCTGAGCTCAATGGGTGAGTGTTGCCCCTTCTCAGATGTCAGGAGGAGGCAAAACAGTCCTAGGCTGGCAGAGGAGTGCCAGATGCTGTCCCTTACTGACTCATATCTCTCACAGGAAACTTACTGGAATGGCTTTCCGTGTGCCAACCCCTAATGTGTCTGTTGTGGACCTGACCTGCCGTCTGGAAAAGCCAGTAAGTGTTGTGGATGAGGTCCTAACAGCTTCCAGATGTGCCCCTGCTTCCTCTAAGCTCTGTATTGCACCTGGAATTGCCCTCTCTGCATCCATCTTGTCCTGAAGATATGATCTTTGTGAAAAGAGCACCTACTGGGATGTTCCCATGGTGTCTCCTCCCTCCCCTGTCCCCAGTGGACATTTTGTGTCAGTTGGGATCTGATCATCTTGGATCTGTCTCTCCTCAGGCCAAGTACGATGACATCAAGAGGGTAGTGAAGGCTGCTGCTGATGGGCCCCTGAAGGGCATCCTGGCATACACAGAGGACCAGGTGAGGAACGCCTGCTCTCAGCCTGCGGTTATTGGCTCTTGCCTCATTCTTCTAAAAGGCTGTTGTCAGCAGCTTCGCCAGGATCCTGGTTTGGGCGCTTGGAGTAGAGATGGTGGCAGCCATATGCATTACAATTCCTTGTGTTTCAGGTTGTCTCCTGTGACTTCAATGGTGATAGCCATTCCTCCACCTTTGATGCGGGTGCTGGCATTGCACTGAACGACCATTTTGTCAAGCTGGTTTCCTGGTAGGTGCAGCCCTGGGGGACTGGCACAGACAAGTTACAGACTTGGGTGTCCTGTTGGTTACCACTGGTGATCCAGGTGGATACAAAGAGCTCCAATCTCACGGTGGAGTGAGATTGCTTCTTACCTGAAATTACTATAGCTACCTCCTTGCCCCCAGAGGGTAGACGAGAGTTCAGTTGTGTGGGATGGGGCAGAAAAGCAGGAAGAATGGAAGAAAGGGTGCAAGAAATGGGTCAGCCCTGACACGCTTGTTTTCTGTCCCCAGGTATGATAATGAATATGGATACAGCAACCGCGTTGTGGACTTGATGGTCCACATGGCATCCAAGGAGTAAGCTGAGCACACAGCCCCCCCCCTGCTGCCTAGGGAAGCAGGACTCTCCTTGTTGGAGCCCCTGCCCTTGTTCACCACCGCTTAGCTCTGCATCCTGCAGTGAGAGGCCAGTTCTGTTCCCTTGTCTCCCCCACTCCTCCAACTTCTCCCCGAGCCTGGGGGAGGTGGAGAGGCTGATAGAAACTGATCTGTTTGTGTACCACCTTACATCAATAAAAGTGATCACCATCTGAAAAGCCTTGTCTGTCTGTCAGGGGGCGATGGGAGGAGGGGGCATGTATGTATTGAGCAGCTGCAGGCGCCTGCATGGCACAGTCTGTGCCAGCTGCAGTGAGAAGCTGGGGAGTGCAGCCTGCTGAGCTGCTTGTTCCACGTGGGAGAGCCTGGAGTCCAGCCCGTGAGCCAAAACAAGGTGTGGTGCAGGGCCGTGCTCCACAGCCGGACTGTGTGGTACGATGGCAAGCGGCTCTGTGGCTCCAGCCACCAAGCTCTGGATTTGCTTGTCCAATGAGTGCATGCAGAATAAAAAGTGTTGAGCAGATGACTCATGCATTTGGTTTGGTAAAGGAGCACAAGAAATCAATTCTCCTTCGCCTGCCTCAGTGGGGGACAAGGAAGATATTCCCTGGTGTTACAAGGTGGGCATTTCACTTGCTTTTACTTTTTAAAATGAATTGGCTTAGCCCCAGAGGAAATGGCTGCCAAGGGACGTGTTGGAGGCCATCGTCGGCATGGTGGTGGCCAGTCTTAATTCTGGCTTAATTCTGTGCGTAAGGAGGGTCAGTTGCAGTTAAGCTGCTGAGCAGCAAATCTCTGCAAGGTGAGTGTCAGCCCTCTGCCTCCCTGCATTAGTTCTGGAAGCATGAATGCCGCTGGGCAGCGAGGGAGCCTTCCATGACCTGTGAGCACCAGGACAGATAAGCAACGCACTGCACAAAATCACGTGGACCTCCATTTTTAGCAGCTTAATTTAGCATCTCAGGGCTGATGTGTTCTCTCCCTGGCAGGCATGGTTGGAGCTGTTGTCCGGACCCCAACTGCTTTAGACCCTGATCTGGATGCTGCAAGGACGTAAGCTGGAGGATTTAAACTCTCAGGATCAAGGTATGCGGGACATGGTTTCCCAGAGCCGCTTATCTCCAGCAGCTGGGCTGTGTAAGAATTAAATGTTTGCTGGACTAGAGGGCGATGACTCAAAGTTATTTTGCAAAGAGAAGAGGTTAACTAACCTGCCTCTGGATAGGAACTGGGATTCTGAGCAGCTTGTTAGCCCTGGGACAGCAGAAATGCTTGGATTGCATCACAAATGGCCCCGTCATTGGAACTTCAGGTAACTCTGGTGTCAAATGGGAGCAGCCTGGTGCTGGAGCTCACTGGAGGCAGCTCTCCCATGGAGCTGGGTTTCTGCTGGGGGGGCTGTGCAGCCTGGAGACCTGTCAAGATTACAAATGAGTCTTGGGTTGGTCCCATCCTGTCCTTGATTGCTGTGCTCGGGTGCTTTGAATGGCTGTGCAGTGTGCTGCTGCCTGCACACTGTGTGTGTGCCAGCCAGCACCTTGCTTGATAATCTGGAAGGGCAGAGAGGCTACTGAAACATCTAAAGGAGGGGAGGATAGAGGTCCTGTTTTCCCATGTAAAACATATTTTGAACTAGGTTAAAAGCTGGAACATTTATGTGAGTCAAATCTCCTAAAAAGCCTTATGTTTCCTAAATGAGGTAAGACTACCTGAAAATTCTAGAGCAAAGAATTCTTGTTATTTAACAAGCTTGAACCTTATCCAACCTGAGATCAAATTGCTCTGGGAATGAGCAAAGTCATACAGCCTCGGGGTGGAGGAAGAGTACGTGCTCTCAGACCAACAGCTGGGAATCTCTTGAATAAAGGTTCACTCTGTTTTCAAATACTATTTCAACTGATTTACCATCCCATCTCTCCTAGAAAAATTATATGGTATTGAGGCGAGGAAAGCCAGGAATCACAGCATTTAAAACATGGTTGGTCTTGTATGGAAACAGGGAGAGTGAGTGTGGCAAACTAGTCATGCAGCTTTTGGACTGCCTGGAGGCCTTGGTTTCCTCTCTCTAATATAACCTCCCTAAAATGCACAACTCTTCCAAATCCTTATTTTGCATCCAGACACTGTGCCTACAGATGGCACCACAGCAAGGCCCCTCTGGACAGATGGAAAAACTAGCTCAGTGACCAGCCTGTCTGAGAACTGCAACCCTGACCTAAAAAACCCCCTGTAATTTTTTCTTTTCCCATCAGTTTGCAAAATTGACATATATGACTGTGGATGGCATTGAAATAAAGATGAGAGATCTGTGGCAGCTCCTTCTGTCTCTGGAGAGGAGCTTTCCCCCAAGCAGGGGAGCTCTAGGTTTGCTGACAGTGTTTTCATGGAAAGCAGATAGAAATGCTTGGTCAGGCAAGGCAGGTGCTCAGGCAGACATAAAGAGGCTCTCATCAGCAAGGCAGTGAGAAGGGATTGTGCCACTTTGCTGGGACAAACCAACTCCAAGAGCAGCAGCCACAAGCCAGAGTCCATCCTGGTTTGTGAGCACCTTGCAAGGGGAAGGTACAGAAAGACACTGATCCTGGCTAAGGGGCTGACTCTGCCTTCGTAGGCTGGCCAGGCACCAGGGCTCACTGTGCAGAGCTATGTAGGAGAGGGATGCACCTGGGAAAGCTCTCTGGCTGACCCAAGACACAGCTTCTCTGATGGGCAGCCAACTGTTTCTAGGGGTGGTAAGCTCTACATTTTATTCTCCTTTTTTTAAGACAGCTAAGAGTAACTAGCAGTGGTGTTACAGAAAATTTAGTTTTATGATAACTTTGAACATTTAGAGAAACTTTTATACTTCCTTGGCATTTGCACAGACTACTACACATGCATTGCTTCCCCAAGAAAGGTCCTCAGACCACCTTCATGTTGAGATGTCAGCATGAAACCTCAGCATCAAGGAAGATGCCAAGTAGTGAAAACCAGCTTGAGCAGAGGTGGAAAATAATTAAGTTCACTTGAAAAATCACTCCAAAACATAACATGTTGTAACTGTGTAAGCACAGTGAAAAAAGGTCTTGGACATTTAAAACATCCTGTGTCCACTTTTAAAGTAAATCAGTATTTAAGCAAAGCAATTGGCAAGACCAGGGCAAGGAAGAGGAGATACAGGTCTCTGAAAGACTTATGACACAGTTACAAAAGACAAACATCTTAAAGGATGATGTTTCAACCTCCTTCATAACTGATGCCATTCACAAAATGCAGGTTCATGACTAAGGGTATGCAAATACCCCTGCAGGCTCCAGCAGTGCTCACATTTCATCAAAACCAAGCTGCCTACCTTTGGGCAATCACAATGTGTACATGCTGCAAAAACAAGTAATTTGTTACTTAGTCTTCTGAGCTGAATGTAATCTCTTACTCTAGGACAGCTGACTTACCTCCATAAATTACCTTACTACAGAAGTATCATCTTCTTGAGGGAGTTAATTAAGTGCTCCCTGGAAGGAACAGTAGTTCTGGGTTATACTTCACAACGTAAGATTTGAAAAGGCAGCTGTCAAAAAGCAGAAGCCGTAGTCAAATGAAAACAAAAGAAAAACCCATAAATACTAGTAAATGAGACTTAGTAACTGTAAAGGAGAAAAAAAGGATATTCTGTGACAAATAGAAAAGGAAGGCTGAAAACCTCTTTCAAATGCATCTTGAAGATAAGAAAGCTGCCAAAAAGCTGTAAGATGGTGTGGGAGTGATTAGGGAAGCTTAAGTCCAGAATAAAAGTAAAGTTGATATTTTTGCTGTCAGAGGAGCTTTGAGGTGTTGCCAGACAGGAGATTTCCCTCAGCAGCAATGAGATGGAGTCTCCACTGAAAACTGAAGCATCAAGACTCCAGAACATGTCTGTGACATGAAGGGCAGCAAACCACATGTGAGACTCAAGTGGTCTCCAGCATGAAATGGATGAACTGTGCTGCAAGTAACTCACCACTCACCTCAGCCCCCCCATGATGAAAAGCAATGGAATTTAGGAAAAAACAGGCTGGCAAAACCTTTCAAAGAACTGCCTGAGGACAGGGAAGACCAGCCTCTCCAGGCTGAAAACTTGTGGCAAGGCTGGTTGCAACTGAGAGATGTGAGTGGCCAGCATCTGGGGGCATCTGCCCCACCAATCAACACTTTCAGAAAAATGTGGAGCACAGCGTGCAAGGTGTGTTGATTATGCAAAATGATCCAAAGCATTCAGCCCTGAATGAGCCTGTGGAAAGGTGCAGAAGGATCTTGTGACTGAGTGACTGGGTTATTAAAATGCTGGATGAAATTCAAGGTTGCCAAGTGAGAAATACTACGTGCAGGCCTCAAAGCCCTCTTTTGACATTGCCCAAACCTCCAACAAACAAGTGAGCAACTTTTGTTGACCTTGGTCTGAGTCCTGTGACAGAAGGGGAAAATTAAAAAAAAAAAAAAAAAAAAGGTGGTGTGTAATCTCGGCAATCTCCAGTTTTTTGCTGCCAGGTTGGATACTGGTTTAGATGCTGGACACCAAGTACCAAATCTCACATGGCCTCCAGTTCCCCATCTCCTCAGAATCCTTGTATGCCTTTATCAGCCTGACTAAACTGCCATCTAGACCAACATCATGAAGTGACTTCAGGCACTGTGTGAAAATGCTCACTTGCCTTTCTTTTTAGGAGCAAAGTAACTAAACTTTTCACTTTCAAAACATTTTTTCCAGGCTGGAATCATGGTTAGGAGTCTTTGGTCCATCTCTTCCAATTTCTGATGCAAAGCAGGACAAAGGACACCAATGTCACATGTGGATAAAAGATGTTTAAAGACATCCTCAGTGTCTGGCTGAGAACTTGCACGTGACTGCACGTGAGCCCTGCTCCCTAGGTCTTCCCAACCCTTCTGTTCTCCCAGGCAAGGTCAGTCACTATTTCTTGCTCTTGGATATATCTATGCATGGCTATGGCAACAGATACCCTATTCAGAAATATTCTGCAATGCTTCTTGGCACTTTTGACAAAGATATTTAGCTCTTTTCAGAGTCTGTATCACTTCTACATATCAAAAATGGTATCAGTTTTGTCTGTCAATTCCTTGTCCTTCTATAAATATTACTTAAACTGCAGATTTTTTCCATTCCTTCGTGATTTCTCTCCTCCTCCCCCCTCCACTGGTTTCTCACTGGCTTTCATCCATGCCCTGTCAGACTAAGCACTGACGT